GCCCCCCGCCTACACAGCTGCCAGCGGCGGCCGAAGGTGGCAACGAGGGCCTTAGCAAGAAGAGAGAAAAAATATATTCTAAAAGAAAAGAACCTAAGCTTTAGATACCATGTTGTGATTCAGGAATTGTGTGTATTGTTGTACACATACCAATCTTATTTATAGAGTGAATACAATAAATGATAGAGATACTAATCTCTAATATTATAGAAACTAATCTAATCATATCCCTAATTGATAGTGAAGATAATAACCATAATATATGTATCCACAATATCTGTAATATATTCACAATATCTGTAACACATTTAATACTTTGTTCCTTAATTTGATAAGGTTATCAGTAAATGCTATTATTATTTCTTACAGGCCCACAATAATAAAACCCTTGTATTTATTGCGATTGTCCTTTTCTTAAATGCTTACATGAAAGTGGTGAAATCAATTAGGTGCTATAATCTGATAGAGCTGATTCTTTCCTCATAACACCAAAACCAACATAGATTAGCTCCTTACGTAATGGAAAATGCAGAATATAAAAAAAGGTAAATCCAGAGTTGTGCTGAGCAAATGCACTGATGTTCTAGCTTAAAATTATTCCCTTTTTAATCCATTTATGCCCCTGTGCACTAATTATCCTTTCCTCTTTTATTCTCATTTCTCCCCCACTGAATTCTTGGATAAAGATTGTGATAGACTTCAACCGAAACCTCCTATTACTAAGGTAGCATATAGGATTTCCGTAAAGAAGCATTGTGCTTGGAGTCATAGTCAAGAAAAGTTCCTAAGCTATTTCCCAGATGTTCACCTATATTTTGAGATATAAAACCTGCAGGAAAATTATGAACTTGAACCCAAACATCTACATGGTTTAACGGGATATCTTTTGGAATATCACTCTCAAAGATTTTGCTTACAATAAGGATGTTGTTTTCAAAATTCCAAGGACCATTATCAAGGACACGTTTGAGATCTAAAGGATGATAAAACTGAAATAAAAAGACCCATGGTTTAATTTTAGGAATAGAGACACCTTTACCAGGTCCCCATATGCTAGCCATACGGTTCTTCATTATATGAGCACGAATGGGTCTATCAGTAAGGAAACGACCCACAAAACTCAGGTTAACTAGGTTAGAGGTACCTGCATCATTTCCATCTTTGATGATTAAGCCTTCAAGATCTTCTTCCAGGGAGCCCATAGTTTTAACGAAATCAGATATTGACTTAAAGTTGTGCAGACAGAGTTTAAAAGAAACATGCAGTGATATAAATTGAAAGCAAGAGAAAGCAGAAAAAGTCACATGCAAAAATACGAAAATGGGTTTAAAAGAGCATGAGATGATTACTTAAAAATTAGGCTTTACGTCGAATATACAACATGCAAATATAGTGATCAGAAAAATGAAAAATCCGGAGAGAGAAAAAGAAATGGAAAAAGAAAAACGGTGACCATGATACAAGATAGACTGGACAGCCCTAAAAGATAGAATGTGAACAATAAAGATCTTGGAAGATTCAAAAGTAAAAAAAGAAAGGTTCATGCAAAAGTTGTCATAAAAAAGAAATCATTTAAAATGAGAGATATTTAATATGTGATGCATACAAGGCTACGTAAAAAGACTACGAGAAAAACGCATACATGTAGCAAAAACATGCAAGAAGATACGTAAAATCAATTGTGATGAGAAAAGGTGAAAGAAAAGAAACCCTGCAACATTTACGAGAAAAAGAAATGATTATGGGAGAGAAATGCAGAATACGTCTTAATACTTATTAATAATATAAAAGGGATATCATTTCTTAGTTTTTTTTTTTAAGATTGCCTTGTCTTTTAACTAATCTATTTATATTCATTTAAAAATAAGTTTATTCTTATTCTTCTTTATCATTCTAACCAAAAGCTCTCATTCGGTAAATTCTCTTATAACAATCATGGTTAAATAACTATTTTCTCTAACTAAATAAAATTATTATCATTATTTTTTAATAACGTTTATTATTTTTATTTTCAAATAAATATATATAGCGATACATAATATTTCTTTTCTTCAAAATATCACTTTAAAATTCCATAAAATAATTCTATTGGGAAAATTTAACTTCTACTTAACTTAAAAAATAGTGTTGACTAAGAAGAGCTTATCTTAATCACCTTAAGAGGTTAGTATTATAAGAATGCGTTAGACCTCAAAATTTGAGTTTCATCAATTATCTAGACAATATGCCAAAACAAAACCATGCAAAATGTTATAGGGTTAACAATTTAACATCACCAAGTGTTTGCCACTACCTAGGAATGGATCATTTTACACTAATTGAAGCTATCTTCACATTCACAATTTGACAGAACATTAATGATAATATTGTAGATGGAAAATTTTAGAAAATCTTAAAATTTTAAATTTTTAAAATTTAAATTACTCTTAATTGAATTTTTTTAAAATATTTTATTTGGATAAAGTATTTTTTAATGTTTTATATTTCAATTACTTGTTTTGATAGAGTATTTCAATTTCTATTAAACAAAATTTTATTTTAAATATTTAGTCAAAAAATTAAAGTTTTAATATTAAATTTTATTAAAATATATTTAATAATTGGAAATTAATTTTAATATTAGAAATTTTTAATAATTTTAAAATAATGCTAGACATTATATTTAGTTAATTTTTTCTTTATAAATTTATAAAATGTTTTAAATTCACAACATATTTAAAAAGTTCAAATAGTGTAGATGTTAATCGTTTTAAAATAATAAAAAAATAATAGGAACCTTTAGTTTTGATTATAGATGATTCAAAATTACAATATCTCGTACAATTCAAAATAAACACTAATTAATAAAATCTCAATTGTATGTATGTCCATATCAAGATAATAAAAATAAAAGATAGTTTGTCAAAGATATCAAAATCACAACTTCAAGATCAATGATTTCAACCTCCTCATAGATGTAAAGCCTACAATTTTTTTTAAAAAAATGATTATAATAAGACCAAAGATCAAAACTCAACTAACAAGCCTTTTTGTTGTCATACTTCAAAATTTACATAAGTATATAAGATGCTATAAATTACAATAAATTTCTAGTAAAGTAACACTAGAACTATAGTCATCTCAACTAAGGTATTAATCTAAAACAAAAATACAGCAGTGTGATATCTTCTACCCCACATTCATAATTACATAATGAATATGAATCATTAAAATCTTTCATAAATAAAACCAAAATATCAAATATCTTATGTAGAGGATTCATATTCATAAACTCATAAACTCATAAACACTAGCTCAATTATGAAAATTAAAAAGGAAAGAAACTAAAGTTTTGAAACAATTCAATGGAAACAATATCCTAAACTAGTCATAACAATGCCCCGATGTCACATATCCTATCAGAGCACGTCCAATCAATGTTGTTAAAATCGAGATTTTACTTAAGATCGGAAAGAGAGTGAAACATCGTAACTCAAGAATCGTAACTCGGATCGTAAGATCTTACACTCCTACTCAAGTTATTAAAAATATAATACCCAAATTTTAAATAGAAAAAAAATATATATATATATACAAAAGTTTGACAACTCCTAATAGAATTAGAAACTTCATAAGTCACAAGACTTGATAACTAAAAACATAACAATTATAAATTCATATAAATCTTGCATTCTAGTCATTTAGGAGAGCATAAATTTCTTCTTGACAACCATCATCCATGTTATCTTCATTCTCATTAATGGCATTAGCATCTCCCACCATTCCAACTCCAATTAATTCATCCTCTTCAATAGGAGGAACATCCAAATCGTCCACAAGTGCATCACCACCACCACTAGTTCCAATATCTTGTCCAACTTCAAGTATGTCTTCATTCAAGGAATTCAAATATGAAATTTGACCATTTTCCTCTACAATCCAATCATCATCGGAAGAAAGGTCTTCAATACTATAGTTTTTTTCTTTTCTAACTCGCTTCTTGTTCAATTTGGAATTTGCCATGACATAAACTACATCATTCATGGTCTTTTGCAACAAACGATTCCTTTTCTTGGTATGGACCTAAATGAAAAATTAATTATCATATAATAGGAAAAAGGAAATGAAATACATTATATAT